ATTATTGATCATTGGCTGAACGAATTATGGACAAACAACAATTTGGATAACGTACAATATAGTGTATTTAACATTGATTTCTAATAATCTGCTACGTAACTGACCAATGTTCGATGTTGGCGTAGCGCACTCAGCTAACATCGAATACCGTAACATTACGCAATAGAACAACCTACCTGACGAATTCTCTTCCACAACCACGTGCTTGAACCTTTTTAGCGAAGCGAATACCCATTCGTAGGCACCTCACACGGCGGAATTCCGTGATTTTACTGCCAGCTCTACGTCCTGCTTCACAGCAACGATCCAAGTCTTCTGGATCATCTCCTTCATATATTTCCTCTAAAAATACATATATGGAACACTTGTTATAGTGTGGATTATAGGATGATATTGACTACGTTCAAGGTGAAACCATGAATATGAATGTTGAACAAGACTGTCGAACATTGTTCTTTGATGCTGATTTAGTTTTTGTGGCTTGAATGTGGGGCATAGCTGGGTGTGTGTCCTTGTGAGCCTGTGGTGAAATTAATTAAGTGATGCCACGCAAAGCTCATAATACCCTGAATATGAGTTAATTATATCCGTTAATGTACATTTCATCTCAAAAAAGTTGTTAGTGAAAATAACCCAATACCTTCAGAACTGCTGAATTCTTCACTCTCCCAAACAGGTTCATCCACCCTATATTCTTCATTTGAATTGGTGTCTTCCACTCTACCTGATTCGTCTTTCCTCCATTCAGCGTCGTACGTCTCTTCCTCGGATGACTCATGATAAAAATCCATCCTGAAGTCTACTCTTTCCTCGGAGTTGGAGTATCTGCTCTCATCAGATGTCGTCAAGTCCTGGCATAAAATGTAAATATGAGCAGGTATTACTGTACCCTAAGGAACATCACATATTCAAAATTCCATTTATTTTCTTAAGGATTTCACACGTTTTATGATTAGTTTACAGAAATGTCTAAAAATTCTATATATATATATATATATATATATATATATATATATATATATATCACAGCAATTTTGAAATTGCAGATTTTAACCTAAATGTAACTTCTAATTTATTGCCCTTTTTCAAGGTTCTTTCGTCAGTTTTACATTGCTGTCATGATTCGTGATAAAAGATGAGGATGTACTTACAAATTCCGATGAAACAACCATTGATGACATTTCGGTTTCAAAACAGTCATAACGTGATTTGCCTTGCATTCTACAGCACATGGCTGGTGGGAATCCGTCACGCTCTGGCATACCACGTACAAGAGCAGTTCTAGCTACAGCAGTGTCACAGAACTGGTCCACTTTCCTTGCGCACACATGCTGGTGACAAGATAAATAAAAACTAACATTAAAATAATAGTTGCATAGAAACAAAAATACATTCAGATATCATGTGATGTAGATTATAACAAGCTCTAACATATCCACGTAGATAACTTACTGTATTAGCAACTGGCTTGGTTTGTTCATTTTCCGTGAAACAGTTATATCTTTCATTTTCTTGACGTCTGCAACACAAGGCTGGTGGGAATCCACTTCTTTTTGGCATTCCACGAATAAGAGCAGTTCTTGCAACAGCTGTATTACAGAACTCATCTATTCTTTCCTCTCTGAGTCTTCTGATACAGGTAGTTCTTTCTTCTCCGCGCTCGATACAGCAGTCACGCATTTCATTTCTGTTTACTCCTTCTCCTCTTCTTGGTCCTCTCATTTCACTACTTTCCTCGCTGTCCATGGCGATTCGCTCACACATTCTTAATACCTCAGACTCTTCTGTTGGCAGATCCATTTTAGAGAATCGTGGTGACTGTTTCATTCCTGGCCCTCTTCGTCCATGGCGCTCTTCATCGGATCTTGATGTACTCCACTTCTGCTCCATACGTGGTCGCTTCATGCTGCGAATCTCGTCAATGCACTCGTAACGTTCATCACCAGACATGTCACAACAACGCATCTTACGTTCGATCCATTCTGGCTTTGCTCCACGAATATCCCAATCTGGATCGTCTTCACTCTCAACATCTTTGGTAATAAACTCACACATGTTATCAATTCTGCTCTTACGTGCTTCCTGGAAACAAGTCTTACCTTCTTCATCATCAACCATGCAGCATTCACCAATTTTCTCCATAAACTCGTTATCTCTCACAAGTTTGTTTTCGATGAATGACATCATGCGATCCATTTTCTTTGTTACCATGTCTACGGAGATGTCTTCAATGTCGTATCCCATTTCCTCGTCAACTTCTCTGTCTACATCATCGGTGTTTCCATCAACATATCGTGTGCAAATTCTCATGCGATGGTCCTCATTGAAGCGAGTTTCAGGATCCCTGCGCATTGGTTTGTGTCTCATCATCACCATCATAGCTTTTACTTCATCCATACATTCATATCTTTCATTGCCAATGAGCTCACAGCATTGTTGTTTCTGTTGTCTCCACCTGCCATAATCATCTGTTGTGTATGCCATCGTCTCACAGTATTCATCAAGTTTTATCTTACGTGCATCCAACATGCATTGGCGACTCTCATCAGCTTCCATTTCACAGCAAACGCGCATCTTTTCCATCAGCTCCTCATTACTAAACATTCCTCGCCTTCCATGATGCCAATAGGGAACTTCATATTCATCTTCGCCTTCAATTTCTTTTTCTACATCTTCACTATTGCCCGTCATTACTTTGGCACAGACCTGTTGGCGATGCCACTCATCAAACCGGGTATCAGGATCTATGAACATCATCATACGCTGGGATATCTTTGGTCTTGGTCTATGAGTCCACAAATGCAGCCTACTCATCGATTCAAAGCATAGGTAACGATCTTCACCATTTTCTAAGCAACAAGGATGGTCCATGGTAACAACCTCATTCATATCTTCCTCATCAACAACCTCACCATAGTGTCCTAGACGATAAACATACCCCATCTCTAGGCCATCACAGACGTTGTCAATATGAACCATTTCTTGGGTTTTGAAACATTCTGATTTATCCGGATTTTCCAGGAGACAGCATGTCTTCAAATCACCAAGTCCAAGCTCAGAAATATCATCTTCAACTATAATTGTATCACAGAGGTTGCTAATGCGACTCTCCTCTACACGATCAATGATTCTCTGTGCTGCGGGTTTAGCTTTTAGTGCAAAACACTTATAACGCTCAAGACCCTCCAGGCTACAGCATATGTCATTTCTATCGTACTTTGGAAACATCATCCTGTCCTCTTTGATAGACTCACCAAAGCGACCAATTTCATAGGAGTAACTTTCAGACTCACCAGAGCAAACATTATCGATGTACTCATGGAGAAGTCTTCGGAAACATTGTAACTTTTCTCTTCCACGTCTGTCACAGCACTCACGAATATCTTCTTTGCGCTCATGGCTCTCACTGGATCCTTCACGCATATGACGACACATTCTGTCAATACGTTTGTTTTCAAGGTCATTAGCAATTTGGTCTTCATCAATCATATTTGGGAAAAACTCGCGACGCTCTTCATTCTCAAAACACTGAATCCTATCGTCATCTTCCTCCTCACAGCATATGTGGTCTCTCTTTTCTTGACTGTCCTTGCCCATTGACATGCCTTTGTTGTAGAACGAAAAGTAGATTGGAATATCTTCACCCTGACAGACACGCTCGTAATGGCTCTCCCGGCTTTCATCAAAGCACTCTCGTCTTTCTTCTTTCTCTGACTTCATGCAGCAAAGACTAATTTCGCTATTGCGTTCGCGCATCTGCTCATTCATTGGAATGCTCATTTCATCACAGACAAACTCTAAACGAATGTACTCCATTTTTCTCATTATTTCTGCAGGTGGCTGACGTCTCTCAAAGCACATACGACGGTCCTCACCTGGAAAGATACATAAACCACATTTCATTATTTATAATTGATACCAGTACGTAATGTTATTTTATAAGATATGCTTACTGACATAATACTCATAATTTGGCACTAACCCACGAGTTTACAGCAAGGATAGATTTCCATGCTTGTTGTTGGTGCATCTTGTCTTTCTTCAGAACAAACTTCGTTGTAGATTGCCATGTTTATATCTGCATATGGATGGCTGATATATTCCATTTCCATTGCTATTTCCGTTTCTACTTCCTCAATCAATTCGTCCCCAATAATTGATATTGCTACAAGGACATAAGAACACCAAGCAATATATTCAATCATGGTGATGTCTATGAAAGTTTAAGCAGTCTGATACGACAGTCAAATGAATCAGTAGTTTAATGTTTTTGATTATTAAAGCATTTCAAATTGTTATGACATAATAAAAGTCAAATATCAATCATTCTTAAAGTTGCATTCCCATTTTGTATCACCTGCGCATGATATCTTTCTCATTGATTCTTGCCAGCATCATGAAAAATTTGGGCTGTGTACAGTTCATCAGATGATGTAATCTAATTTATCAGATTCTTCTGAAATAATGCATTGGGTGGCATTAAGTGATTACCCAAATGAAAAGATTGTTTGATTCGGTGATTAAACGTCAAAACATTCAGTGCAGGGTAGATTCAACATTCTAATAATTATAGCCAAACATTATTTTATTATTTATCACGGATATCACAGAAATCAGTGGCAGGTTTTCTGTATATAATAAAAAATGGAAAGACAGTTTCAACAGAAAGGTAAATCCTTGATTAGCCAAATACATAAAATGCTACAAACACCGACTGACATATATCGCACACTGTAGCGAAAAATGCATACACGTGTACGGGTCGCATACATTTAACAGATACCAATACTCATAAATGCAACAATCAAATCTTTATAACTAATTTAATGTTTCCAAAATATTTGTAATTACCAATATTTTCGAGTGTATCTATATCCTCATCAGTGATTTCCAACATCGCGTCTGAAAAAAAAAACAATTGAAATGTTTAAAATAATTTAAATAAATATGTGTTGTTGTAGTAGTGACAGTGAAAATGAGAAATTATCTGCGTTTCGTAGATTAGCAGATAATTGCTATCTATTCGTATGTAAATTATTCAGGTTCCATTGCACCTGCTCCGATTGGTTAGTGGCTAAGTAGCCAGGTGCTCATGAGTATATAGTAAGAAGAGTATTCTATTGTATTCAGTCTTGGTTGCAAACAACTCCCGATGTATTTTTTATTTTATTTTTATAAATGTATAGTACTCTTAATATGGACGACTCCCGACGTCCACCCCTAGGTACATCTGACATTGCGTCGGGTACAAGTTTCAAGTTTTTCTCCCTTGACGGGTTTTTATATCTGTTTTTTCCTGGGCGGTCAATGTATTCACGATGGGGCTTTGGCATCAATTTCGTGTATATTTACATATATAAGGGGGGGATAAATAAACGTAATAAACGCGTGTGGCCCCTGGGTGCTGCAACCACCGCATACCGCATTCCATGCTTGTTGTGTAATTTGTATGAATAATTGAAGTTAAGTATAAATTGATACAATTCTCGTTCAGCGTAAACATTGCGCCCTCTATCGCCAATCGTCCGTCATATTCCTTATGCCACCATCTACGTTTTTTTTGACGTCGCTGTTCGTCGCTAGATGGCGCAATTTATAAGACAAGTCTGTGTTATAGGCCTTGCTTAATATTTTAATTACCCATTTCCTCGAGTGTAGCCAAATCTTCTTCTGCCATTCCCATAACATCCTCTGAAAAAATAAATAATAATTTAAGTGTAACTAAAACACTGTTAACATTTAACGTTTGCCACATATAACTAAGAGAATGACAGTAATAATAAAAATGGAGAAAAAAACACATCCATAATTTCAGTTTGGAGTGAAGAATTATTCATGAGGAGTATTGAACAAATTAAAAGTTATTTATATGTTTGAAGGTCATTAATATTCCCGTGCGCTTCTACAATTTTAATTTTTCAAGGGGATGTCTTAAACGTTGGATCAAATGGAAATACTGTCTTGGTCATTGTTTTGTGGGTAAAAATTAAAAACTTGTTTCACTATTTTCTTGATGTTGAAAACTTGATGATAATATTTTCATATTTACCGTTTTCCAATGCTTTCTCAAGGTCTTCTTGAGTTAATCCAGTCAACATTGAAAGATCGATTTCTGAAATCAGTTGTGAGACAGACAATGTTTAAAGGTACCTTCAAAGTTAAAGGTCGGCGCATGCGTGAAAACTACAACCCTCCACTGGTTCTCATTACTGTTGTGAAACCAACAAACTGAGTACAAGAATGATATAGCATATGGCACATGGCTTTTGTTCTTTCGAAATTTCCACCCTCCCTTTGAAAAACATACACTAAACTCACAAAAATAAATACTGCGCCTGCTACTTTTGCGTACTACTAATGCATACTACAAATGCAGATTACATCGTTAGGAATCCTGAAATACTATTAGTACTGTACGCGAACAAATAGGGACGGAAGGAGGGTGATAAAATATACTTAATTTCTACAATAACAGAATGTCGGTTGAGTGTACTTCTAGGTATTTTTTAAAGCGAGGGAGTCATTACATGCGCATGCGTGCCGTTGTTTACAAACAAGCGTCTGCCCATAAGCCTTTTCGTCGTTAGCATGCGTTGTTAACGTCGCTAAGGACTTCCTGTGTATGTGCAGGCGACGACCCCCCTCCGCTTTAAATGACCCTTTTTAAAGTCATAGCAACATACCTTGTGGCAGTTGCATACCGACTGGGCAGATAGTCTTTGTCAAATAGCTATCGTATTCGTCTTCCATGTCCATGTAAAATGTGTCCATATCTCGCATAACGGTTGCCCTGGAAACATAAAAAAAGCAGATGCACTAGTCAGCCGACAAGTTCTCCAAAACGCCAGTCGTCGCGCTGTGAGGCTTCACATTTCATGTAAAAAGAACGCTGTTTGCTACACGTGTCAGTTGTATACGTTGCATGTGCCATCGAGGGTGGTGGCGGTGTGGCTTTATGGGGCGGTTATCTTCTTCCAGCCTCCGTTTGAATTTCATGTAAACAAGCATACACGCGTTGTATACGTCTCGTGGATCTCATGTCAATCGTGACGCATTTTAATATATAGAAGTGTCATCATCGGACTCCCTATGTCACTATAAATATGCAATTTTGTAGAAACACTGATTCTTGAATAGCATAAAATTAGTCTCGAATTCAGTAAACTGGATACAGAGCTCTGTAATTACCTGATTGTTACACATCCACATTCTGGGGCCTTCCAACGGAAAGACACCTTAGTTTTGTCGTCGTCATTTTCATTGATAATGGCGCTTGGGCATTCCTTGATCTCGCGTGCACGAGAGTTCGTTGACTTGAGTACACCAGGCAAGCACATGATATCGTTATTTACTAAAGTCACGGTAAAGCTCTTGAAAGGCATTGAGTTCTCGTTAGAAACAAGACCGACTACAGAAAGGAATACATCGATTAAATTGATTTCATTCACATTAATTTATTTTTATTTTTATTAAAATTTATATTAAAATATTTAAATTAAATTGTGTCAACGTACTTGTGTGGCTCTCATATGGCGTGTAACCATTTTCCATATCGAAGAGTGTTATTTCATATATTGGACCAAAATCTTTGTCTGTTTGTTGGTTTACCTCCTGTGAGGCTCCCCTGGCCAGAGCGTCCCATGGAATGTTGGTTGGACAATTCTCAGGCACGTAACCTATGCAGAGTAACACAAACAATCAAATTTATGAAGCGATGCATGATGGGTACCAGTTTACTTAAGATATTAAAGTACCCAGATAATAAATTAAACAGATTGTTGGGTTTAAAATTCAGTGGAACACAACAGGAAAAAAGTGAAGTGCCCGGTGGTCAATGGCGCACTGTAAATAGGTTAACTTGCGCAGGGGCGGATCCAGCAAAATGTATTGGGGGGTCCAGGCCTATAGGTCGAATATACGGGACCGTGCGATTCGGACGATGCTATGCGTAATCCAGATGCATTTTCATGCGTTTGGAGGGGGCCATGGCCCCTTTGCCCCCCCCCCCCTCTGGATCCGCCATTGAACTTGCGCCCGGACGGTACACGCGACCTCAATATAACTGAATATCGACGCGAGATACCGCGTTATGCTTGAAATTGAACAAGGTAAAAAGGCCATGGCGTCTAAACATCTCGTGGAATTCGACGAACGCAAGAAATATTTGTTTCACGCTTAATAATATGTATATTTAATGAGGGTCAATTTTGATGGAGAAACGCCATATTCCCGACAATCTGAAAGAACGGCATTTTGACATTGCACTATAATTAATTTAAGTTCAAAGTTAAATCATTCAATTTTGTGGCAACCTGATCTTTGAGAAGAGAATATGTATTGCATTCATCAAAATTGACCATCATCACTTGTTTAAGCGTAGAAATCCTCCCAAAAAATGTTTCACGTTTGCAAATGCCCACGCGTTGTTTAGACGCCATTACGACGTTATGGCTGTTGGGGGCGATGTGACCTTGTAAATGACGGAATATCGCTGATTGCGATTATCTGCAGACACCGTGATAATAGAGAAGTATGGGTGAAAGGCCAAACGTGTGTGTCCCCATTTCATAATGGCACCTGATTGGTTGGAAGTTGTAATTAGGCTAAGCACGTCACTCACTGACATTGTTCAGCTTGATATCGAGATTAGATATATTACCCCTCATATCTCCCATGGTTCAGCAAAAATTCAGCAACGTTACGCAAGATCGCTGAACCATAATTTTGAAAATGATCAAGGCATCACAATAATATTTCTACGTGGTATGTGATATGCTTTATTGAATCCAGCCACACCTCTTGATGTCAGCTTGAACACCCTTCAAAAAAAATACCATCATTACGTAAATAAGTTCAATAGACGTATCAACCCATACAAATATCAGTCAGATAACGATCTTTGCCCCTTGCCCGTAGACGGCTCTCCAGTTTTTTTTATAAGTTAGCCATTTGTATTGTTCAAAGTTTAAATTCTTATCACTGATTATCTTCGAGTTGCGGGTCATGAACACATCCTGTTATTGTGTTTTATTGATTATTGACAGAAATGTTGAGTAGCAATTCGGCTAGAAGCATCCCGCCGCGCATGTGCCTGCTGACACTATCGTCTGCTTATCGATGTGTTTGATCAGAGAAATGCTGACGTGTCGAGTTTTTCAGAAAGCAATCAAGAACACTGCTTGAAACAAACATGTTGAAGGCCGTCGATTAATGCCCTGTCGCCGACCTGTAAACAACTTGAACATGCAGCCTTCAACGGACTCGGCTGCTGCAAATCGTAAATGAAAAGTGCTTATTTCGCTATCCTGACACTGACAACTCGCGAAATAATATCGTTAGCATCAGGAAAGTCAAAACAAAAATGCGGTAATATGTGTGCTAGTTGACCTTATAAATCGCCCCGTGAACAAACAGTCAAGTATTTCTCTAGTGTAAAGCTCCAACTGCAAGATGGACTGAAAAAACACTAAAACTATACATCTTTGTCTAGCCATTATTTCAAAAATTCGCAGTTAGCGAAAACAGTCATCATTGTAGACAAACAATTAAACTCACACCAATGTAAAAAAAACGCTAAAAAATTATCTTCTGGATTAAAAAAGAACTTACTTTCCTGCTGTGCGCCAGCAAAGGCGACAGCCAGCACCAATATCAGAATACGCATGTTGTGCAGTGATTTCAAGTCGGTGAATTCTGCCGGACTGCCTGATAGTTCACGGCCTAGCAAGTTTTATAAGCGTTGAACAGATAGGCTATCTATCACGTGACTGTCGAAATGTCACGTGACAATCGGTGATTACTGTCCGACTGGGTTCCTGTGATTTTGAGTTGATAAATTGAACAAACATATACAGATAAGAAGGAGCGGAAATTGGAGATACTTAGCTGACAGATGAACAACGGTCGTTGCGTGACGAAAACAATAGGTATTGAAGTCTAGAAAACTTCTCCATCATAAAGTTCATTTGTCGGACATTGTGAGTCGGAAAATGTGCTTAGACCAGCACGAAGGTCTGTGTGCATCACTTGAGGTGATATCAGTATTAGTATGATATATTCGTTACGCCCGTTACTATGATGTGTAGCTTATTGTTTACTCGAAAAGATCATCGTCCCATCAAGAAAATAGTGAATAGCGCCCTCATATGACGCCACTTGAAGATGGATGCGGCTGACACACTATGTAGAGCAATGTGACTCTGAATTTTTGAGAATCGAGTTATTGCTGCCATGGATATAAGATTGAGTATTTCCACGTAGCTCTTGTTCGTTAAGTATTTGATGGAAAACTTCTTTCAGCAAAAATGTCTAGTACTTACAAATGGACCATTTTTTGTTCTCTGCGAGATCACGCATTATACGTGGAATCGAACGTAAAAACAAGAAATACGAAGATCCTAGCATCGTAGCGGCGTCCGAGCATCGCGTGGGATTCGTCAAACGCGAATGTGTTTTCGTAGTTTTTCCGTGCTATACACACTTGATGACGGTCATTTTTTGACGAAATAAGAGCATCTCAATGCCATATTCTTGCTGAAAGATCGGCATTTTGACTTGAGCTATCAAAAAAAAAAAATAAAAAAAAAAAAATTTCAGATTCAAATCATTCGAGTTTTCCTTCCGCTCTTTTCTCGCAGACCGTGAGATCTCGCAGTGAATGGAAAATCACCTTTTGTTCTCAATGTTACTAGATATGACATTGTTAAAATTCTAACATAATAATATAGAGGGCTAAATGACTAAAACCTTTTAATTAGGAAGTGGCAGAAGACGGAAAATATTTGGAAATTTGAACAGTAACATTGTACAATTGTCCCGTGACACCTCGAGTATTATATTGTTCTAGTTATCATTATCACAGGTAATTCCTTATCTTCACCTGCACTACAATAGTAGGTGTCACATCCTGGATGTCATGTGACCAACTTAGTGGATAGTAACTTAATAATGTATATGTTGTCAAAATAAAAAATAAATGAGTTAAACTCAACATGGGATGTTTCAGAAGTAAAGACGATTTTATATTTTTCGATTATTTATTTTTTTACCAGTATGGAAACTGTACCTGAATATTGACTTGAGCATTAACCGCTACGGTCCGGCATTATGATTTATGATCGAAGCTTGCCCTCAGTGTCCCGT